GAGATTCTGCCTGCAACATCCCCAAAATCACTTGCCGGGGTTCAGTGAAGCCCAGCATGCAGACAGCTCCAGGTCAGGTGATCAGAGCTGGCCAAGGGCAGCAGCAGATGGATGCTCCTAGGGGCACTGGGGCCATTCTACTGCAGTCCCACCTCCATGGCTCTGCTGGAAGGCAGCAGTGGAGGGCACAGCTCTGCTCTGGGCACAGCTGCAGGGAAGAGCAGACACAGCCCCACAGAGCCCATCAGCTCTCATTAGTGCTGTTCAGACATGACCGTTGCCCTCCTACCCTCCCTCACTGCACTTGGACACAAGAACATGAGGGTGTGAAGGTGGGGAGAGCTCAGATCTCTTCAACAAGGGAAGGGATAGGGCAAACAAACCCTCTCCCTTCCTGCAGAGCTGGGGAAGGAAGGGTGCGAGCAGCGCGAGAGCTGCCGATAGGCGTGCGGCAGCACCCTGAAGTGCAGTGCTGCAGAGACCTCTTGCAGCACAGTGCTGCTACTGCATGCCTGCCTGCAGCCCAGCGTGGGAGAGCAGCACACTGCTGCACACGCAGCTCATCCAGTGCAAAGTGTCACCTGTGGACGGACACTGCCCTCGGTGGCTGCTAGCTCTGCTGCCCATCCAGCTGGCACATCCTTGAGGCTTGATCCTTGAAACCACCATGACGTGCAAAAGGCTCGCAAGCATCTCACCGCAGGGAGCTGCTTGCAGGGAAGATGCTTTGCAGAGAGCTGCCCCATTTCATCAGGCATGTGGGGCGCTGCTCAGAGCCCCACATCTGCAGACTGTGAGCTCTGAGCGCATGAAGACAGCGCAGCAGCCAGGTGTGCTGTCTGGTGTCCGGGGGAGAAACTGCGAGAGAGTTTTTAAAAAGAGTAAGACAGCACGTCTACCAAGGTAAACATAAGAAAGTGCCACAGGAGGAACAAGAGGCCCTGTGACCAGCAGCAAATGTGACCTATAACTACCTGGCCTGAGCAATGAGCAGGCTGGGATGCAAGGATGTGCAACCACAGAGCCGTTCCTGCTGTCAAAAAAGAAATGAGAAGAAATCAGGATGGCAAAAGACACCCAGCTGTGCCCTTTGGGACCACCAGGAGCAGCCCTGGCTGCCAGGATGCGGACACCAGAGGGACCCAGCTGGAAGGTGCACGGCCACTGCCACCATCACACAGCCACTAGGAGGGGACAGGCAGTGGTGGCACACCAGGACCTCCTCACCATGACCAGATCCTGCCCCTGCTCCAGCCCTGCCAGTACAGGGCCAGGTGTCCTTGCTGCACCCGCAGCCCCACTGCTCCTGCACAGCACCAAGCCAGGAGAGGGAGCAAACAGTGGGGATTCATGGGAGATGGAATGCTTTGTTCTTGGGGCTGGGACGTGTGGGATCTAGAGGCCATTTCCCAGCATTTTGCAAGTTAGGAGCAAATCCAACCCACACTTGCCCTTGTAGGAGGGAGCCCTGAGCCTTGACACAATCTCCCACCAACACCCACCTGCAGAATGGCAGCCCTCAAACCAAAGTCTGTCTCAGCAATAAAGCCCTTCCCATTTCAAGCCCAGGGACTCTCCTGTTCATCCCACTGTTTCAGGCACCACCATAGACTGTATGCCCATACGCTGCTCATCCAGGGCTCTCACACCCAACAGAACAGCATATGCAGGCAACATGCAAACACTGTGTGCTCTTGTCCTGTACCAAGTGCTGTGTGGATATCAGTGTGTGGGTCCCAGAGGCACTCTCCCTTTGGAATCCTGGGACATTTCCAACCCCCAAACCTTCCTTCTGAAGCAGCAACGCACTCTGGCTGTGACCAAAGGTCCCCAGGGCCAGAACACTGGTGCTGCAAGTGGCATTTAAAGCAAAAGAAAAATACAACTCCATTGATGTTACTGAAACCAAGTCCAACCCTGATGGAAACAGCTGATGAGCACAGTGTGCTGGCTGGCACCACTAAGCAGAACTCCCCTTGCAAAGCCCTGAGCCATGTTTGCACACACAGACCAAAGCACCTGCAGCACGGCCTGCCTGTGCTGCTGCTCAGTGCCCAGGAGACGATGCGTGCTTGGTGCTGCTCTGCTTCAGAGGTGGGTGTTCAGCACACAGCGAGGCACCCCAGTGCACCCAGATCCTTCCATGCAAAGAGTGATGCAAAGGAAGGTGGTGTGGTCGCATGCTGAGTTAGGCTGCATCTGCTCCACATCTTCAATGCCATCCTCCCGGAGCACCACACGAGCCTTGCTTGGATCTGGGAGACACCTCCCTTTGACTGGGGTGAGAGAGCAGCCCAGCAGCTTGCATGCCCCTTCCCAGGACTTCCCCACACCTCCTTGGGCACTGGGGCACCACAAGATGCTGCTGCAGCTCAGCCCATGTCAGTCTGAGCAGGAAGCAGCTGTGCCCCGCTCCTGTTTGCTGGCTGTGACTCGCGGCTCCCCACTGATCTGCAACTCCGAGTGATTCACACCCGGTCTCTCCCCCTCAGTGCCCACTCCCTGGGATTGTTCTCAGCCGGATGTGCTCTGAATGAGCAGCTGCCCTGCGCGAGCGTTCCATCATCATTGATTATGTTTGTAATTTTTATTGGAATACTCATCGACGAACAACAGTCAGCAAGCGAGCGCTGTGCCGAGGGCAGATGGGCACAACGGGATGATGCAGCGCAGCTCTCATCCACCTCCACGCGTGCTTCCTTAGAAACACTCTGCCACTGAGATCTGCAGCACCTTTGCTGCCTTCTTTAGCCCTTTTGTGAATGGTGACCCACCTGCTGAACGGCTCCCACCCTTCTTTTTCCTCCTGTTCTTGAAGCATACGTTGTAAACAAGAATCACAGAACGATCGGGTTGGAAAGGACACTAAAGATCTCCCAGCCCCAGCCCTGCCATGGGCTGTACCCCCAGCTCAGGCTGCCCAGAGCCCATCCGTAGCCACAGACGCCTTCAGGGATGGAGCACTCACAGTTCTGGGCAGCAGATGGAATCAGGGCAGGGCTGACCGTGGGCATCCAACAGATCCAGCAGGTGCTTGCGTGCTTCAGGACAAGATCCAGTGGTGGGGGTAACACAGGGATGGGGAAGGGATGGCTCTCACCACTCAGAAACCACAACCCCACGTTGTGCCCCTCGCAGTGTGGGTCCCTGCACAGCCCCAGCCTGACACGTGCCCCACGCCAAGGGACGCGTGCGGCTGTGACAGCGGCACAGCAGTGACCAAACGCTCCCAGCTCTCAAAGACGGGGACTGTGCCAACGTCAGCAGCCTGAGAGCAGTGCAAGGGGAAGGCTCGTCAGAAAGAAAATTCATTCTGACAATCACAGAAATCGGAATTCATTTAAAATTCAAATTATGCAAATTCCAGTAATCCCTACATGCAGATCCATCACATGCCAGCAGTGGGACGGCAGACACGCCACTGGCTGCAGCTCGCAGAGATCCATCCATCACCAGCTCTGCAGACTGTGCAGGGCTGCAGGCAGCACCCACCGGGTCCCCCAGCACTGGCACCAAAGGGAAAAGCTCCCATACCCCCACAGGCACAGGGTGCAGGCCCCAGGGGCTCCCATGCCAGCTGCAGGAAGTCCTCTCGCAGAGAAGCATGGATGAGTGCTGCAAATATGAAGCCTCCATTGGGCAGAGCCCCAAAAATGGGGACCCCGCTTCATCTGCACCCAGCCACAGCATCAACACCTTTCAGCCACAAGGACGGAGGAACAAGGACACAAGGAAATAAAAGTCATACAGAAACCCTGCCGCGTTCCTATCAGCCCTGTGAATGTACCCTGGAGAGCTGAAGGTCCCCAAAACCAACGAGCAAAAGCCCTCATGGAGGCAGAGGCCAAAAAGAACCACACGCAGAGCATGGAGAGCTGGAAGAGAGCACAGTGCCCACTACTTACCCCGCAGCAGGACCGCCCCAGCTGTACCCTGCAGTCCCTCAGACCCCACATCCTGCTGCTGCTATTGCTGCTGCTGCTGCTCATAGCCATTCCCGATACTGCCACTGCCTTCCCCAGCATAGGGCAGCAGCTCTGGGTTCCCTCTCACTGGATCCCAAGTGCTGGATCCCAACCAGCTCCTGCAAAGTCCTTGCCACAGGAAGGATCAGCACCAGGGAGCACACAAGCCACTACCTTCAGTGGTGCGGTCCATGCAGTGCAAGGGGCAGGAATGAGCCCTATGCAGCACCCCACACATTGCAGGGGGCAGCCTCCAGACCCAGCCTGTGCCAGCAGGTGGATCAGCCCTTCCTCGGGGAAGGGGGGAAGCAAACAGACCCAGGAGCAGCAGGTTTATGAAGATGCATTGCAGCTGCCCATGCCTCGCAGCAGGTGAGCCCTGCCAGCCTGGGCTGATCGCCTGACAGCACTTCAGGTTACACTGGCGCACATCGCCTGTTCTGCTCCCATTGTAGCAAAGCCCTCATCCATTTCCAACCAATGCCGGCTGCCTTTCAGTGCAAGGACACCCAAGCCCTCATTACAACCCCAAGCCAGTAACGAGGCGGGAGGAAGGCCACACAAAGCTCTGTATCAGGTGTCTGTGGGAAAGGGAAGACGCAGAGCCCATTAAACATTGATGGGGAGCGCACAGCACCCGCAGAGCAGTGGGAGGAGGCTGCCCCAGGGGCTGGGGGCTGCTCCCTGCACACCCTGCAGCCCCGAGCCCTTGGAAAGGCCCAAGTGCTACGTGTTGAAGCAGAGCAGCGTCCACTCCGTTTTGCCTTGAGCCCCTTTTTGTTGCGACCAGAGGTGAGGCGATGGGGACACCAGCACTGTGCACTGCCTGGTGAGCAGCAGCCACCCAACCCTACGGCAGTGCTGTGACTAGGAGCCACAGAGCCTGCCCAGCATAGCAGGTGTGGGCAAACTGAGCATCATCAGGCCGAGGAGAGACGCGTCTTCTGTTTTGTCATCCACGCATACAGCCAACCCTCTGCCATGCCAGTGTTTTGCAAAGCCACGTGGGTGGGTTGCATCACCCCAAGTACTCACAAACTGCCGCCGCAGCCGGGTCCGGACGCGCTCAGCCTTGGTCTCAGCGGGATGCACGGCGTAGCCCAGCGAGCCCAAGTGGTTGTCAACAGAGAGGCTCTTCCGCATGTAGAAGGAACGCATCCGAAAGTGGCTGAACGGGGCGTCCTCCACCGCCGTGCGGAGCTGCGGCTGCAGCGGGGCATCGCCGGGGGGGTCCATGCCATCGTCCTCCAGCCGCCAGGCGTCCCCTGAGGACAGAGGGACAGAGGGACAGCCGTCCCGTCACAGCTGTGCTCACCCCTGGTTGCACGCCCAGGATGCGGGTGGAGATGCCCACCCAGACCTCCTCCATGCATCCCACCGCAGGGCACGAGGGCTGGGTGCTGCCCCATGGGAGTTCACGTCCCTGCCACAAGTCCCAGGTGTTCCCACCTCATTCAGCGGCTCCCAGCCCATCAGAGCCCAACGAGGCAAACTCCTCTCAACTGTTTCCACCCATTCACTGCTCTTTGGGGTCTGGGGCCACCGTCCCCAGAGCACAGAGCACTGCAGCACGCAAGGCTGGGACAGTGCTGAGCACTCCTCGCTGCACTAAAAGGGAAAACAGGCAAAGCACACAGGTGACATCTCCATAGCATCACTACTTCCCAAGCAGCCCAGGTACGGATACTGCGTGCTTCTTGCTGCCTGACAGACACTGAACTTTCTCCTCTTCCACCTCCCTCCCCCCTCCCCCGCAGCCCAAACTGCTTCTCAAAAGCAAGAACAAATGAACAAAGCAACCCCGTGCTCAACCCTGCAAAACCCAGGCCAGCAGCACAAAGGCAGTGGTGAGGGCTGGTGCTGCTGCCTGCTCCTGCGGCTGCACCGCTTTGTTGGCTTTCTGAGCAGCCCGGCGTTGGGGGGCACAATACCACAACCAGGGCTGGGGAGCAAAGTCCTTCAGAGCTGAAAGCAGATAAAGGCCTTAAGGAGAAAAACAGCCAGAGTGAAGGCGAGTGAAGAAGAGAAAGGAAGAGGCTACAGCTGCCAACAAAGGCGACCCGGAGCAGTGCAATACCTAGGAGCTATTTTTATTATTCTTTTTAGCCCTGCTCTGAATTTAATCAGCTGCGCCGCTCCTCTCCAAATGTCAGCTCGTACAACACAGGAGCGGCTGTTTGAAAGCTGTGATTACTCCAGGCACAAACACGTCAATCGGGACCAGCCCTGGCTGCCACCACACAGCAGCCCCACGCAGATCGGGCTGCAAGGCTGGGGCAGCTCCCAGTGGCAGGGCACCGTGCATCCCACGGCCCCATTCACCCCCCATGCCATGACATCCCGCAGTGGGACGGCTGGGAGCACGCTGAGCTGCTCTGGAATTGTCACCTGCTCGGGTACAGTGGGTGTAGGGAGGCAACACACAGGAAGTCAGGACTTTACCTCCTCCAAAACAAGGACAAGAGGGAATAACCTGAAGTTGCGACAGGGTTGGATATTAGGAAACATTTCTTCTCTGAAAGAACCTTGATGCACTGGTATGGGCTGCCCGAGGAATGCCAGGGGCTTTGCTCTGTACCAGGATTCAGATCTCCACCGTGCATCCAGGTCTGTCCTTGCCCACCCTGCCTCAATGGCCCTGAAGCTCCTGAGGGAGCAGCCCTGACCCCGCACAGCCACTGCCATCCCATCCCTCATGTTCCCATGGGCACGGCAATCATCCACAGCCCGCCATCCCACGCCCAGACCTGCTGCATCAGAATTAGGAGCATCAGGAAACAAAGCACAGTCTGCAAAGCATTAAAATTAATCCAGGGCTCGGCCAGCTGCTGGGTAGCTTGCAGCAATCTGACAGTGAGGGCGTTAGATTAAAAAAATAATAAAAATCTTTAAAAAGTCAAAGGGTGTTGGGCAGAGGCAGCAGCTTTGTAGGGGTTTTATTTTGCACTGGATTGCCAGCCTTGGCTCACGAGCTTTATCTCTGTTTCAGTGCTAATCACCTTCCCCATCACTCCTATGGCCCCAGCGTGACTCTGCTGGCACCAGAAGCGTGAAACACTTTGCCCATCAGTGCTTTTGCCAATAAAATTGCTCAGAGCAGCTGGGCCGGCCGTATTAGTATTTCATCAGGATCAGCGCAAGAGCAGAACACGACAAAAGCCTCATTTGCCAAGAAGGCCAACCCCAACCCCTGGGTGGGGAGCATCCATCACAGCATCCCCAGGGCAGGAGCACGGGAAGGTGGAGCAGCGCCACTGTGCCCCTGCTCCCCAAGGAGGGCAGCCAGCTGTGCCCTGAAACCACTGCATGCCAGAGCACAGAGGCACCTCGGCCCACTGCAGAGCTCAAAGGAGTGAGGAGCAGCAGCTCGCTGGGCTGGAGCTGAGCACCATCTCCAAGTGAGGGTGCCCTCCTGAGCCCCCCTCAGCTTTGTCACTAATGTAACAAAAGATGGAAAAGTTTAAACGACGGCCTCAAGGAAAGGCTCAGAGATGGGCAGGCAAAAAAATCATCGAGAATGGCAGATCTGGGAGCAGGACAACTCCATAGGGAGCAGCGCTGGGATTTGCCTGGTTGGCAGTGCCTCCGGAGAACCAGGCCGCATTCGACAGAGGTTTGCAGACCCCCGTGCACTCACCAGCAGATGGGACCGTGCAGCCCTTCTGGCCATCAGGGGCTGAGTGCTTCTGGTAGGGCTTCTGCTCCGGCATCGCCTCCCGGAACGCTGCAGAGTCGAGGAGGGGAATCCTGCTCAGCACTGGGGACTGCGGGATGCTGGGCAGCGTCCGGGACTTCCCCAGGAGCGGCCTCTGCAACTTTCTGTCCAGGGATCTGCAAGGAGAGAACACAGGGCTCACTGCAGGCACAGGGATGGCTGCTTTGAGTCACGTCCTTCCCTGCAGGACGCTTTGCCATGTGCTGCCCCTGGATGGGGCATAACACCGAAGTGCAACCCCGGCTTGCGAGGCTGCAGCCGTTTGGGCAAACCTTCTCCTTTTGCATTCTGATTGGGATTTGTATCTTGAGCTGCAAGCCACAGTCAGCACCAACAGCACATCGAGCACTCAGCACCTCCAAGCCAGTCCATCTTAAGACACACGGATAATCAGAAATGAGCAAATAAACCAGAGGCACCAGGACTGAAATGATACGAATTGTGAACAAGAGAATGAAAGCTCTGCCTGCCCTCCACTGCAGCTCTGTGCCTCATCCCACTGCCACCACACCATTCTGTCAGACCTCAAATATTTCCTTCTTTCTTGCACGTAAGTCTCAGTGCTCCTCCAAACGTGCCTGCATGCAGCTCTGTTTGCTGCAGAGCACCATCAGCATGCGGGACATTAACGCTGCTTTGTACCTTCTGTGCTGCTCACATGGACTACATGAGGGTCAAAGGGGTGAACTCGTGCTGTTGGAAGAGAACTTTAGAGCTGCAGACAACAATTTCTATTTCAACCCCTAACCTGTTTCCACCTGGAATCTGACTTGAATCCCCAAGCAAAGGCAGTGCTGGAGATGCACCGTGCATTGTGCCACGGCCAGCAGCCAGTGCTGCTGCTGGGACATCGTGCAGCACCGTGTGCTTCGTGAGCCAGCCCCAGCGCCGTGCGTTACCAAGGCTGCCACATGCCATTAGTAAAGAGCCTTGATGGGAGCGTACAGCTCAATTAGAAAAGCCATCATCAACACAGCTACAGCCCATCAACAGCAGCTGTTCAGTGCTTGGTGGAAAGGAGAGCGCATACGCAAGTCTTGCCGGCCCCATCGCTGCCAGGTTCTCTGCCTCCAGCTCTGGGAATGCCACAGGGTGAGGGAGGGTGGCACCAAGCTGATGGCACAGCACAGACCGCTCCGGCATCACCCATTCTGCAGCACCCAGGGCACAGGTGCTGCTTCCTCAGGCACTTATTGAAAGCAAACCACCCAGCCAAAGCAGCCACTGGAGCAAGGAAAAGCCGGTGCCTGCCCCACAGCCACGTCCTGGCTGGAGAGGTCCGCACCGCACAGCTTCATTGCTGCAGGGAAGGAGGGGAAGGGCTGAGCAGGGAGAAAAGGGAGGGAGGCAGAGAGAGAAGTCCAATGCAAGTCAGCCAGGGAAAGACAGCACTCAAGCACTGTCTCCACAAACCTTTCCTCCCCCTTTATTTCAATGGGGGAGAAACCACCCTCCAAAAGGCCCTCCTCAGCACGGCCCAGGCTGGTTTGTCCTTGTTCTCAGAGGCAACACAGAGCCTCTGCCTCCCCCACGGCACGGATGGAATGACCCCAGGCTAACTAACCCTCCTATGGGACAGCACAGGGCTCACAGCTGCACTTCCTCCTCTGTCCATCAGCCATCTTGCCCTCAATCCATCCATCCGCCCCCTAAATCTGCCATGAACCAGGAGCTCATGAATCTGGGTGACCCACAGAGCACCCGGGTGGTGCCCCAATGAAGCAGGGATATCTCAGCCCCTGTGGGCTGTGGGGATGTTCTGACACCACCGCAGCTCACTCCGAGCCCCACACTGCTGCCAGCAGAGCCTCCACCAAACTGCCTTTGTGCTGCTAGGTGCTACCAGGGGCTGAGGAGCAAAGGGGAGAGCTGAAAACACAACAGCAGCCTTGAGCTGGCTGAGAAACGGATTCAAAGCAAAACAAAACACACAAAAAAAACACAAACAAAAAAAAAACCCACAACAAAACAGCATTCAGCTCACAAGTTCAGGGGGAAAAAAACAAAACAAAACAAAACAGCCAACAAATAAAACCACAACCAACATGTGAAGCTATAAAAAATACCTCCCCCAAAGCTCAGCTGTGTGCTGGTAAATATCATGATTTCCACCAGCTGGTTTGCAGAGCTCCTCTCCTGCCATCGCTCCGGGCTGACGAGCTTTGCACAGCAGGGGCCATCGGCCGGGCAACGACAGGAGGCAGCCGGGGCCAACGGCAGCAAACCACGACGGGACACGGAGCTGCTGCTCCCCCCGGTGCCCGTGCAGCAGTGAGGATACCGAAGGCGGCTGGGCTGCTCGGCAGGGGAACGGGAAAGCTTCAAGGGGGGGAGCAAACCGGAAAATAGCATGCAGCTCTTTGTTTTAAGCCATGAACCTCTCAGTCGGACACATAACAGCTTATGCTGAGAGGCAGGCAGAGCCGAGATGAGAACCAATGAGCATCCAAACCCTGCGGCAGGGCAGGTTGGCCCCTGCCCACACACACAGGGCAGACCCTCGTGGCCATCGGCCCGGCACCCGGTGCTCTCACCCCAGTCGTGGCCATGAAGCCATGGGGCAGAGCCAGAGCAGAGCTGTGCTTTGTCCTGGGCAAAGGAGGAGAATGGAGCTGAGCTCACCTCATACAGCACATTGCAGGCATGGGTGAGACGCGCTGGGCACAAACTCTGAACGCTCCGGTGCAGAAAGCCTGGTTTGCTTTAAATCCCATCATTTCTGCAGCGTGAGCAAGCGTTCCACCCCTTGAGGTCAGCATTGGCAAGGCTGCCCTAAGTCTGCTAAGCCCCGGCAAAAAGTCATCATTTCATATTTTAGCCAAAAAAATATCCCTAAGCACAGTTTTTGGACAGCGTGTTGTTGTTTCAAACCCTCCTCCCCTTCTGAGATGGGCTGGGTTTTGATCTGAAGCACCAGAACCCCAGAGCACCAATAGCACCCACTGCGGCCAGGTGGACACAAGCCTGATCAATGGGATGGATTCATGCTCCCAAAATGCTGCAGTAACATCCCTGAGAAGTGCTCTGTAATGAAGGGGGGTGGATGCAGGGTGAGGGCAGGGCAGCCCGGATGGCATTGCCCCCATCCCAAGGGGCCGGAAGCACTGGGTTGTGAGGATCCCACCAAACAGATGCAAAGAAAGCATGAGCAGAGTGCAGAACAACGTGAAAGGAAACCCACTGAGACCTTCCTGCCTTTTCTCCCCCGTGTAAACATTCATACACGATGGCAGAGCTCTTCTCTGGGTCAGCAGCACCTTGAGCAAAACAGCACGCTTGGGTTCTGTCCCATTGGAAAGTGAGACACAAATATCAGTGAGCCACCACCAGCAGCTCCCCGTGGGCAGCTGACCCCACCACAGAGCTCCTCCTCGAAGGAAAAGAGGGAGGAAATAGAATGGAAAAGGCTCCAGGGTTAAGGTAAGGACAGGGAGATCACTCGCCAATTACCGACCCGGGCCGAGCAGACTCAGCAGAGTAATTAATGTGATTAATGTAATTTATCACCTATCGCTGACGGATCAGAGTAGTGAGAACTACAAGCAAACTGAACAAACCGCAAGCCCTGCAGCCCCCTGCCGCGTCAGCACAGCCGGGGGGTGAGCCGGGGACGCAGCCCAGCACCCTGCTCCATTCACAAGCCTCCCCCTCGCCGCCCGCCGCTTTAATTAGAAGCTGTTGGCGTTCACAGAGCCTCATTGAGCCGCTTCCCCCGGTGTGTGCGGCCGGGGCCTCTGTTTCCTACCTGCCCACCCACCCAGCTGTGACTCAGTGCCAACACAGTGGGTGAATGAGGCACCAAGCAGTCTTTCTAGCAAGCGTGACTCACAGGGCCAAGGCTCGCTGCCGGAGAAGTTTGCTGCAGTCGTGCTACATATGTAATTCTCCTTAATGCCAGCGTAACTTCCCCTTCCTGCTAGCCCATCCAGCTGTCACACCAAACGAAAGGATGACTGTTGGGTTTTTGCCTAATCCGAGTAAAGATGAGCTTCAGCTTCTGCAGAACACAGCCAGCTCCCAACCCCGTCCCCACCCTAACAATTAGCTTCAAAAGGAGCTCAGGAGCTGGGCAGAGGAGAAGAAAGCCAGCGCACGCCCATCATCACTTGGGTTCAGATGTAACACTCCTCCAGACCCTAAAGGATGATGCTAAGAGCACCAGGGCTCTTTTGCGACCCTTCTGAAGCAGCAAGCCTTCCCAGTGCCCTGGGGACCACACACAGTGCCCAGGGACAGGAGGGGCAGAGAACCACCCCCACAGCCATACAGCACAGCGATGGAGGCAGCAAGGCTCTGCTCACCAGCTGCAGGCAGAAAAAGCACAGGACAGCCACAGAGTGCAGCCCCACAGCACCCTGCGAGCTGCCACCACAGCCAGCACCCACACCATCCACCGGCACGAGGGAGAGGGGCTGAGTCCAAAAGACACCAATGTCTGCTGCAGGGAACTTCAGCAGGATTAACTTCTGCCCAGCAGGCTGTGGCTGAGTCACTGACATGGGATTTAGGGCTATTTCCAGCTTGGCTTGGTTCAGCATCAGCACGGAGCGCTTCCACGCATCAGCAGCGGACACGTCCATCACTTTTTGTCTTACTATTTATTTCTTACATAGATGCCACTGATCTGTCGTGGCAATAATGCAGATGCACACACACCCACACGCTGTCCTGCTGGCTGCTCAGCGAGGCGGGTGTCGGAGCTGGGGAGCAACCACATCTCACATACAGCTGCCACAAACACCTCCGAGCAGTGCGAGGTGGAAACTTCTCACTCAGATTCAAGCACTTCCCAGTGCCTCACTTACATTCTCTTTTAAAATCCAGCCCCGCCAGCCAGCACTGACCGAAGGACACGAGACTGCAACTTGGCAGGGCTCAGTCGTGATGTCCCTGTGCAACCGTGGGGATTCTCAGGGCTGTAAACCAGAGATGGGAGACCCGCTTTCATTTTTACCCAGCCGCCTCCCGTTGCCTGCTGCTCACGCAGGGTTTGTGCCTTCAGTGCAGTTTCCAGCCCCAAAACGTGCCAGTTCTGCCTCTTCCCCATCATGACTGCATGCCTGAGCACAGAACTGCTGCCAGAGCTGGAGAGATATTTTTACACGCCCCAAAGCAACCGAGCACAATCCTGCCAGGAGAACACAGCCTACTGCCCTCGCTGCCTGCCAGCACTGCTCTCAGGTCAGACCAACCTCAGCAGCCGCTGAGAAACCCTCCAAAACCCATTATCTCCATGAAATGCTGCTGGATCCGTTCCCTGCCAGGAGAGCCAGAAGCACCCAGGATCTCCAGCCAGGACAAAGCCTGGGAGGTACCTCACAAAATCACGGAATGACCTGGGTTGGAAGGGACCTCAAGGATAATGAATCTCCAACCCCTCTGCCACAGGCAGGGCCACTGACCTCCACATTTAATACTAGAATAGGTTGCCCAGGGCCCCATCCAGCCTGGCCTCCACCACACACACACAGTGAGTGCCAGTCGTGGTTGTGCCTTCCTCCTTCCTGATCCACTTCTGGAAGCAGCACGAACTTGCCAGGGGCTGCCCAGTCCTTTCAGCTCAAAAATAACAAAGTGAAAGTTAGCTATTCTGTACTGCACGTGTCTTTTCCTTTCGTTGCTCCTCCACACCAGGCATGCAGAACACCAGGTGAGCACACCGATGCTGGCACCAGGAAACAAAGCAGATAATGTAGCCCTACATGGCTGCACGCAGCCCCTGCTGCATTCCTGCCCAGGCTCACGGCCCCTTTGCCCAGCACTGCAGCCTCCAGAAATGCACCTCTGTGATGATGCAGACTCTCACACTGCAGAAACCAGCACAGCTCCACAGCCACTCAGCTCAGACATTTCAGCTCTGCCATAAAACTCCTACAAGGCTGCAAAAAGTCACTGAGAATAAACTGCTTGTTTAAGAGGCTCTGGTGGACTTTTCCAGTCCATCACAAGCACCGGCAGGTGCTACCTGCTAGGTGCACCAGCCCAGAGACCTGCCAGCCCTTCAGCTTCATGAAGTGGGCAGCTGTGCCACAGCAGAGCGTCTCTCAAGGCGGAGGAGCACCTGCTGACATTACAAGGAGATGTGAACCACGGCATGGCTCTGCATTGCAGCTCACAGCAGAGAAATAGGACATGTCCTGGCTGGAGATCCTGGGTGCTTCTGGCTCTCCTGGCAGGGAACGGATCCAGCAGCATTTCATGGAGATAATGGGTTTTGGAGGGTTTCTCAGCGGCTGCTGAGGTTGGTCTGACCTGAGAGCAGTGCTGGCAGGCAGCGAGGGCAGTAGGCTGTGTTCTCCTGGAAGGATTGTGCTCGGTTGCTTTGGGGTATGTAAAAAGAGGAGGCTGAGCAGCACCTGTGAGCACTTGAGGGTTTGGCCAACAGCACGGAGCAAGAAGGTGCTATTGCTGTGTTAGCTGTCTGTGCACAAGTTGGAGCCCTGCTGGCTCACGGCACAAATTCCCAGACCCAGCAGACTTACTCAACCCTGCTTTTTCTGTGGGTGTCATTTAAAAACGCAGGCTTATTACTTAATACCACAACTACACACTGCTAATATCTTTTAGGTCCTCTGAGAATGAGTGGGATCACTATATTTAGAATTTAATAACACCAAGCAGCACCCTGCATGCTGGTGTTGCTTGCTGAGTCCCAGCAGCACCTGGAGCCGATCGCCGTGAGCCACACCAACCCTGGGGGATCCGGCCACCCTGGTGTGGCACTGCCCAGGATGCAGGAGCACCACGTTTTCATTCACCCACGTTGACTTGTAGAAGTGAAGAAGGAGCTTCGGTGAACAGAGACACTGATTTCAAGAGCATCCCATGATCTGATCAATGCTTATTTTGACTCCCATCAGTATGTCATCAGGGCACAGACACAGCAACAGCAGGAGCAGCCCTTGCTTGGAGTCAGCCCTGGGGCTGCTGGGCTGCGTGGGGAAACTTCTGCTCCCAGGAACCATGGGGCAGAGCTCCACCAGGAAGCCCCACACTCATGTGCTGGGGAAGTGTTAGCGCATCTGTGCCCAGCAACACCCCAGGAAGTTTGGTACATGAGTCACACACCAGCAGTGCTGCTTTATGGTTAGTGCTCCAGAGAGAGCAACGCACCACAGCATCTCCCTTCACACGGGTAACCAGGTCTGGGAACACAGCACTCTGTGCATGGGCACACGGTGCAGGGCCCCAGCAGCATCACCTCGCTGCCCTCTTGCTGGCACAACAGCTATATGGCAAATGCTCCCTGTCTACAAAGTGCACAGAGCAAACCCCAGGGATGCTTGTGCTCAGCAGTGCCAGCACCATCCCTACATGCAGGCACAGCCAAACCCAGGGTTCATGGCTTCCATGTTTGTCACTGCCTGGTGCTCTCAGCTCAGCCGTGAGCACCTTCAGGCATCTGGACAGAACATGCCATGCTCTGAGTGAGCAGGGAAGAGGTGATATCTCTGGAATTGCAGAGTGAAGAAGGGAGCAGCACTAGCACTGTGTGTCTCACCAGCTTGGTGTGATGCGGAGAGCAGCAGGAGGGCTCCAGACAACAGATCACCAACTCCTTAATACCATTAGCAGAGCCCGAGAAGCTCAGACACCAGGGAAGAGGGTGAGCGGATATCTCAGTGCTGTTTTTCCATGTCAGCCCCACCTGGCACAGGCTCAGCTCTGCCTGGGCTGGCACACAGGGACAGCAGGGACAGCAGCTGTGCGTCAGCTCTGGCAATAGCCCTTCCCCACAAACAACCACAACAACATTGATGTGTTCCCATGCACCATGGGGTGTGAGCTCCCAGCATCACACACCCCTCCCTGCACAAGGCAGAGGCTTAGGCAGGGAGGGCACACAGCACACAGGCTTCCATCTCCACCCATGGAGCAACCTGTTGCTGGCTCTGTAGCTGTGGGTTTTATACGCAACAGCGTGAGAGGAGGACGGAGAGAAGGACAATTGCGGTGCGTAGCCCCGCCACTGTAACAAGGGGCTGGGTGAGGAGGCACAGCACAAAGCAGGAGACAGAAGCAGGCAGGTATACGTGCAGGCAGTCACATGGCAGACACCCGAGATGCACCGCCGACACCTCAGACGTGCCCTGGGCAGAGACACAGGACACCAGACATCCCAAAGCTCCAGCATCCCAGGCAGCACCGAAATGCTGCTTGCAAAGCTCCCAACTCATCCCCAGCCCACGGTGATAGCAGAGGGCATGGGGAAGCAGCGCACCAAGGACCACGAGTCCCACCCTGCAGCCACTCCAGGACGGAAGGGGCTGCCACCCCATACCTGCACTCGGTGACACTACAGCAGCAGCTCCCGCTGCGCCGGCCCCGTCGCTCTGTGCGCAGCTCCGTCCTCGACTTCCTCAGGCTGAAGTACTCCGTCAGCTTCCCAAATGAAGCCATGGCCCCCGCCAGCTCCCAGCGCACGCCCGCCTGCAGCCGTGGGCACCGCCACGCTCCCGCATGCTATGTCCCAACTCGTGGCCCTGCACGCTCCATCAGGTGTGGGACCAGGAAAAGAGCGCTGCAGGTCCAAAGGTGAGCTGAAGGCAGGAGTCACGGTGAGCCCTGCAGATGGGAGGCTCTGCCCGCCTGAGCCGTCCACAGGCACCAGGCTGCACGGCGGGAGCTCGAGGCCGCGTGCTTCTCTACTGTAACGTGGCTGCTGCTGCAGAGCTGAGTTAAGAAGGAGGGGAAAAAATAATAATGGCCCGTGGAAAGGATCCCTCGGCAGAGGTGGCACGAGTCTGCATGCCCCCGCAGCAAGTGGATGTTCAGCACGCGCCCAAGACGAGGGAGCCGGTCCTCAGCCAGGTGGGGGGATGGATGCTGGCCAGGTCAGCAGCAGCAACGTGAATGCCTGGGACATCAGCTGGTCAGATGGATTTCCAGAGGGTCTGTTCTTATGGCACAGGGATCAGCACAGGAGGTGGAGAGCATCCCCGCTTGCTCTTCTTGTGGCTGTTTGGAGTTTTCCAGTTCTCCTCCCTCCCTGTTTTCCAATGCAGAAGCCAACCCTTTGCCTCCAGCAGCACCTACCCAACACGATTTTCCAGCTCACCAAACACCTGAGCACGAGGAGAGGCACAGGCATTTAAAACGAGCAGCTCTGATCCAACCAGAGGTCACCTCTGGGCTCTGCTCCCCGAGCTCCAGCACAAAACATCTCTCCCGCTGGCAGCAGGCAGAGGGATGCCGCAGACTTGGAGGGAAATCCTGCTCCCAAAGCTCCCCCGTTGGGAGCTCTGCATCCTCAGTGCAGGGCGCCGCCTGGGCAGAGGGGAAGGAAAAAAGGCTTCAAAACGCCACTCCAGCCCTGCAGAGCAAAACCCGGTCGAGTCAGCGAGGTGCATCCAGGGGCGGCGGACGGAAACCCCCGGCCGTGCCGGCGCAGACCCTCGGGGAAGCGGCCAAGACGAGCGGCGCTAACCGAGGTGGCAGATCCGCGAGCCGCCTTCGCATCCTCTCGATCCCCGCGTTGTGGATGCCATGTTAAAATAGATAAATAAATAAACAACGCAAATCATTCATTGCTTCCTCCCCGCTCAGAGCCATCCGCTGCCGGCAGTCCGCTTCCCCGCCCCGCCGCTTTCCTCCCTGTTTCTCCTCCTCTCCCTCGGCTCCCCGCTCCGAGTCCGACGCCTTCCAGCAGCAGCGGGGTACGCCCCGCCGGGGTGGGGGGAGAATCTCCTGCCCGCCCCCCCCCCGCGCCGCCCACCTGCCCGCCCCGAGGGGCTCCAGCGCTGCCGGAGGCTCCCCAAAATCAGCGCGTCGGCGAAGAGAGGGGCGAAGGCACAGCACGGGCTGGCCGCGCCGCCGCGCACATCCCGGCTCCCCGTTCCTATTCGAGGCGAAAGGCGAGACGCCGAAGGAGGGCAGCGGGGGACGGGGGGGGCAGCGGGGAGCGGTGCGGGACGGAGCGGGCAGAGCGCGCTGCGAGCGAACCGAACGCCCGACGCCGGTGCCGGAGGAGCGGTCAGCCGGGGCCGCAGCGGAGAGCGGGGGGAGGAAAAATGCGGAGCGAGGTCCGGCGCGATGCCGTCCCTTAGATCCGAACGGAGCGATGCTGCCGCGGAGCCTCTCCGCCAGCCGCCGTGCTCAGCCTTGCTTTGCAAATGGCATCGCGTTCGATTTGCAAAGGCCAAAAGCAGCGTCGTTCTGAGGGGGACAACAGGGCGACGCGGAGAAATGCGGAGAAAGCAGAAGGGTGCGTGCACCAGACCCAAGCTCCCAGGAGCGAGGCTGACAGCCCCAGCACCCCGCGGCCCAGCAAGGGCAGAGGGCTGATGTTGGAAAGTTCAGAGCAGGACAGCTCTATGGACTTCTCCAGGTGTGATGGAAAACCGATTCCTGAGGGGATTGCCACTCTGCAGCCCCTGCTGCCACATCCCACCTCCCTGCCCAGGAGGGACCAGCTGCAGCCCTATCTCTCCTCCACCTTTCAAGCCCCCTCCCCCGGTGCCCTTAGGCCAAAGGAAGGCTGTTCCCTTCCTCCGAGGCAGAGGAGAACCCCAGGCCCTGAGGTCAGCCCTTGGGGACAGCGCTGTCACAGCCACCAGCTTCCAGCTGAGTGCTGCTCCTGTCATTAAGCAGAGACAATCTGCTGAGATGCTGCTGGAATTTCTCTCATTTCACATTAGCAATCTGCTGTGCTGGGGGTGCAGCCGTGTACTCAGTGATGCGAAAGGCAGCTTCCCACTGCCATTTAACAGCAGAATGAAAAACTTTAAATGAAATCGTAGTTAAGTTCGTGTGTCGTTTTGTTTTCATTCTGTTTTGTGATTCTTTTTAAAGAAGAGCTGCAGAGAAGACGGGGTAAAACAGAAATGAGGATCCATAGGGGCTGGGACTCTGTGCAGCCACACACACACCCCAGCACCTGCCAGAACACTGCACAAGCATCTCACACCTGTTCTGGAGGGGAAATAAAGCCATGAGCGTGCCACGGTATCTGAGCCCATCACATTCCTGTGCACGTGCCCACCGGGGCAACAGATCAGCACTTCCCATTTCAAAGCCCTCGCTTCCAACAAGGTGAAGGCTGCGCAGACCCAGGAAGCAACACAAATCTCAGCTTGCAACCAACAACAGCCCATTTTCCAGGCAGAAGAGCTACCGGCTCCCTCCCAGCAGCCTGAAACAGCCCCACGCTTGGTGCCCAGGTGCAGGGCTTGGAAACCATCCCTGCTGCTGCAGATGGCTCCGGCCCCAAGCCCAGGGGTGTCCTCACAGCCCCATTGCTATGCTGCCGAGCAACCTGCAGCTGGATGCTCTGTTGTTTCCCTGGGCAACTTTTATTCCAACAGCTCTCCTCCACAGCAGCTAGGGAAAAAGGGAAAGAGCATTGGTCAGATGGAGCTGACGGCTTCATCTGCTCCCACAGTGCCAGAGGACGCCAGCATCATTCCTGCAGGGCTTTGCTTTCAGATCCCTATGCCAGGAACTGAGCTACACAACCCCCCCCTCTCTCCTGGAGCCACAGCTCCCAGAGCTCAATGACTGCTGCTGGATTTGATGGGTCGGCTGTTTGATAGATAAGGAACTGGTTATGAGATCACACCCAGAGAGTGGTGGTCAATGGCTCAATGTCCGGATGGAGATCAGTGATGAGTGCTGTTCTTCTGGGTTCAGTGCTGGCGCTCTTTAACACCTTCACCAGTGACACAGACACTGAGATTGAGTGCACCCTCAGCAGTTTGCAGGTGGCAGCAGGCTGTGTGGGGCGGTCAGTACAGCTGAGGGGTGGGATGCCATCCAGAGAGACCAGGGCAGGCTGAGCGCCCAGGGGAACTGCGTGAGGTTCTGCAAAGCGCGAGGTCTGCACCCGGGTGATGGCAACCCCTGCTATCAGTGCAAGCTGGAGGATGTAAGGATGGAGCACAGCCCTGCTGGGAAGGACTGGGTGTCAGCTGGACGTGAGCCGGCAGTGTGCTCTTACAGCCCTAAAACCAATGGGATCGGGGGCTGCACCCAAAGCCACGTGGCCAGCAGGGTGAGGGAAGGGCCAGACTTTGCTGTGACAAGACAACAGGTTTCCAGCTAAAGAAGGAAGGATTTAAATGGCATGTAAGGAAGAAGTCTGTTACAATAAGGGCAGTGAGGCACCAGCACAGGTTGCCCAGAGAGGCGGCGCCGCTGTGACCCTGCAGACCCCCGAGGTCAGGCCAGGTGGGCTCTGAGCACTGATGGAGCTCTGGGTGTCTCTGTTCACTGCAGGAGGATTGGACCAGATGGCCTTTAAAGGTCCCTTCCAACTCAAACAATTCTATGAAACCTCACAGGAACAAGGTAAGCCAACAGTGAAGAATTTTGATAAGCATCCTTTTTTTTTCTTTTCCACTCTGCACTTAACGACGCGCAGTGATGGGGCACCACTTCCCTCACCCCATCAGCCCCGGGTGCAAAAGCACCATCAGACACTGCAGAACAGTCAGAGAAAAGGGCAGAACACGAATCCACGGGATGAACAAAACCAAGCAGCACAAGTGCACAAGAAGCACAAGTATGAAGGTTGCTCCTGAGGTTGCTAAGGAGCACACAGGAGACTTCTGGCAACTACTAAACGTCTCCGTACCAAACATACACACACACACACTCGTATCCCTGTTAAAACATCATATTGCAAAGTCATCCAACAGCTCCAAGGTCCCAAAGTCATTTTGGTCTTTAGGGAGGGGTCAAAATAACTCTGTGAGCATCCGACGTGCAGCTGGACCAGCAGCATCAGCACACCATGGTGTGTCATACAGACAACGACAATGAAGACACAAAACCCCAAGAGGAACCTCCATCCCAAGGGGCCAAGCAGTGGCCCAGGGCCCCCCCAGCACCCCTCTGTGCCAGGCACCATGTCCAAATAGGGATGTGTGCAGCAGGACTGGGCTGTGACATGGGGACAGCTGCTCCCAGCCAAGTGCCACAGCCCCATGCCCGGCACGCATACGGCGCAGACACAGCCCTATGGCAGTGCTGCATTTTAATATAGTTGTAATAAAAAGCAGAGTGTAAGAGGCACTATCATTTCAGACTAAGCAGGCAATTCACTTTAATTGTCACTCCTATGGCACTGCACACAAATCTCAGCGCCGATACCTGGCGTCAGTGCGTGGAGTCTGCCTGGCACATGGCCGCATCAGAACTCAGCTAGCACCAGCCCTCCAGTTCCAGCAGCAAATCCAGATGTGCTGCACAAAACATCCTCCTTCCTGGGAACAGCACCGAATCACGTAGAGAGAGGCTTCACAGACACGCTCTCCCTGTAATCTGGCCCACTTTCCTGTGCGTGAAGCTCGGAAGAGATGGCATTAGCAACATTAGGGAATCCAGATGCAATGCAGAACCCTGCAGCTGAAGCTGCTCTGCCTGCAGCTGCTGAAGCCCTGCCCCGGTGCCTGCTCCTTGGAGATGGCACAGACACCGTGCTGGAGCTTGCAGAGAGAGATAAGGGCAGGACACAGCAGGAGGAGCGGTGGGGGTTTGCTAAGGAAAAAAGAGAAAATTAGTCAGTCTTTCCCCAGCAAGATGGTTTGCTGAGTTCAAAAGGATGAGAGAAAGCATCAAACACAGGCAGCAATCATAGAGTCGTAGAATGGCTTGGGTTGGAATGGACCTCAGGGATCATCAAGCTTCAACCTCCCTGCTGCAGGCAGGGCTGCCAACCTCCATATCTAATGCTGGACCAGACTGCCCAGGGCCCCAACCAACCTGGCCTTGAGTGATACGATGGGAGGAAGCTGCAAAAGGAAAAGCAGAGGCAGAACAATGAGAGGAGGATGGAGCTGGCAGGGGCACACGTGGGCACCACAGCTCTGCCCCTCGCCCTCATGCAAACCCCCAGGCCCTGCCCAACTGGGGCAACTGGTGACAGATCATCTCCCCAGAGCCAGCTGGGAAGCAGACAGCTCAGCGTGCCCCAAACTGTTACTCTTTCCCTCCCACCCACCCTCTCAAGAAAAAAGCCCTAGCAAAAGCCTAAGCAAAAATCAGAAAACCTATTAGCATGATCAAAGATCGCAGCAAATGGAGGCTATTTCTTGCAATTACCTCCCAGCAAACACAAACTCTCTTTAGAATAACAATCTGTGTCGAGCGAGAAAGCTCTGGAGAGCAGCAGGGCTGCAATCCGTGGGGCCAGCTGTGCCCAGGGACAGCCTCTGTGCCACCTGGTGAGAAGCAGCTCCCCACAGCCCATCCCCTCCCTGCCAGCACGTCTGGGCCACGTCTGGGCACTGACAAGCACTGCTCAGAGCAGGGTTGAGCCTCTGCTTTTGGCTGGGCGGCATCGGAGCGCTGAGCCCAGCAGGGACTGCAGCTGCATCACCCAGCACTCTCAGCCTCTGGCTGCCTTTTCCCTTCCATCCAATAATTCTGTGTCCAGACTGAAAACCTCAGCTCCCTTCCCAAACAGTGGATGGACGCAGCCCTCTCACACTGCAGATGAGGACTGCAAACTCTCAAGCCCAGGGTCAAATTTTAACCTCTCACGTCAGAACTCAGAGCGGTGCAATCATCGGACGGGTGTTGGATTTACTCAGCTTGTTTAAATTAAGCTGGGAGATTTCCCCCCAGGTTCTAGCAATTTAATTAAAATAAAGTAAAAACAAGCCTTTCAAACTTCCAAATGCTCGCCGTGC